TTTCAAAGCTTGAATTTCAGCAGCCGGGTTCATCGTTGAGAGCATAGAGAATAGTTCGCAAAAACGATTCTCGGTTTCAAGATATGCCGCATTCATGCGATGGCCAGGATGCAGCGCGTGAACCCCTACGTTGGGTCTCACCAATTGTGCGTCGGAGGGCTCAGTATATGGCCCATTCAACTCTGTAGAACGCAAGAACACAAAAGCTTCAGAAGGACTGAAAACTGGAAGGTGTGAGCGGCAGGCAACCTCAGATTCGATGAGGGTGATCCAAGTTGAGGTCGGCGCTCCCAGGGGGTAGTCAGCGTTCTGATCAATCCTAGACCTGCTGGAACGAGTGTTTGTTCGGTTGTGGATACGCCTTTTATCCTCTCGAACATGATTATCGCGGGTGCTGCGGGGAACAATGTTTCCTCTGCCGTCGTAAAGGCCGAGGTCTTTACCCTCCCCCACGTAATCCATATGGACTCCAGTGGACTCCAGTGGACTCCAGTGGATTCCAGTGGCCCTCTTACCAGGCCAGATTGGCTGGCAGAATGCCCAGTCCACTGGAGTCCAGTCCAGTCCAGTCCAGTCCAGTCCACTGGACTCCCACTGGACTGCAAGCCACTTTTCAGAGTCCAGTCAAAGTCCAGTGGACTGAGAGTCCAGTCAAAGTCCAGTGGAGTCCAGTGGAGTCCACTGGACTATTGACTGAATTACAACAAACATTATACCAATGTTAGGAGTCCAGTGGCAGTCCAGTGGACTCCACTGGACTGGACTGAATGGAACATTAATAGATTGACTGTTATTATTAATTAATAATAGACAAAAAAGCGAAAATGTCATAAAACAGTGATGTAAACATAGCATTTGAAAGACTAGTAATTTTGTAGTACTTAGATGTAAGTAAAGTTAAGTCTTAGATGAAACAAGGATTGAGCATTTTGTTCAGTCTGCGGGGTTGTGTCACGTGACTTACCCGTGAGGTTCAAACGTCACCCCAAAGCATCACGTTTGTTGTTTGCAAGCAGGTCACACCTGCGTGACCATCTCGTTCTCTTCCACCACCACCACTACCCATCCTTTACCACCCCCGACGCACCACCGCTGACATTCCACAACGTCGGCAGTGGTGTCGGTCACTCTCAACACCTCTCGACGCCTCTCGTTGCCACACCACGTCATCCTCGATGCCTCTCGCCGCCACGTCACCAAGCCACCAAAGCGGCATGCAGAACGAAGCCAACGAAGAAACGAGGGACAGCGCCCAGTCGTGGGCGCTGTCGGATTGGTGAGCCAGGACACCACACGAATGCGGCGCCCACACCACGTACGTCGTTTGCACGCGACAGCGCCCATGCCACGGCATGGGCGCTGTCAAATGGTGAGTGCCCACCCCGTCGTCATTACCCCCTTTTGCTTACCTCGTTTGCAGCCCCAGGATCACGGCACACACTGGATACCACACGAATGCGGCACCCACACCACATACGTCGTTTGCACGCGACAGCGCCCATGGGCGCTGTCAAATGGTGGCCCACCCCATCGTCATCACCCCCCTCTCGCTTACCTCGTTTGCAGCCCCAGGATCACGGCACACACTGGATACCACACGAATGCGGCACCCACACCACATACGTCGTTTGCACGCGACAGCGCCCATGGGCGCTGTCAAATGGTGAGTACCCACCCCATCGTCATCACCCCCCTTTCGCTTACCTCGTTTGCAGCCCCAGGATCACGGCACACACTGGATACCACACGAATGCGGCACCCACACCACATACGTCGTTTGCACGCAACAGCGCCCATGGGCGCTGTCAAATGGTGGCCCACCCCATCGTCATCACCCCCCTCTCGCTTACCTCGTTTGCAGCCCCAGGATCACGGCACACACTGGATACCACACGAATGCGGCACCCACACCACATACGTCGTTTGCACGCGACAGCGCCCATGGGCGCTGTCAAATGGTGAGTACCCACCCCATCGTCATCACCCCCCTCTCGCTTACCTCGTTTGCAGCCCCAGGATCACGGCACACACTGGATACCACACGAATGCGGCACCCACACCACATACGTCGTTTGCACGCGACAGCGCCCATGGGCGCTGTCAAATGGTGAGTACCCACCCCATCGTCATCACCCCCCTCTCGCTTACCTCGTTTGCAGCCCCAGGATCACGGCACACACTGGATACCACACGAATGCGGCACCCACACCACATACGTCGTTTGCACGCGACAGCGCCCATGCGCGTTGTCCCACCGCCGTCGTCATCACCCCCCCTCTTACCTTGCAGCCCCAGGATCACGTGTCCCAGAATGCGGCGCCCACACCATGTATATCGTTTGCACGCGACAGCGCCCATGGGCGCTGTCAAATGGTGAGTACCCACCCCGTCGTCATCACCCCCCTCTCGCTTACCTCGTTTGCAGCCCTAGGCCTGTCCCCGTTGTCTTTTTAATGACACCTCGTATTGATATGAGTACCCCATATGTAGATTACATAGGTAGTTACATTAAGTTGGGTTGGTTTACGTAGGTACTACTGTACTTCATAACTTTTGCAATTTCGAAGTGTGGCCTTCACGAAATTTGGTTGTGTGTGTAAGGTTGCCATATCTGGCCTTCTGGCATCTTCTAAGGCAGATTGCACCTTGTTCTATCACCACCACCACTGCTCACTGTTTCACCATGCCAACCACCAGAGCCACCACCAAATCTA